TATCAAGGGAGTGATCCTTGGCCAGCAGTTTTTTTGAGTTTAATTTAGCCTAAATTACATTTTGCCACATTTTTATAATATTTTCCGGTCCATATGTTTTTGAGGAAAAAAACAAGGAGGAAACTCCTACCCAACCAGGAGGGATGGCAGGTCTATAAATGGCGCATGTGATATTGAAACCGCTAACACTCAAGGTTCACCATTCCTTCAAAATTTCCCTATACATGTTATTCCAAAATGACCACCATTTAAGTATTCTTTTGTTTACTTGCAAATTAGCCCTTTTTACCTTGTTCTTAAACTCGAAATTCAAAAGAATAGTTTCTCTTAAACGAGGCAACAAGGGCTCATTTTCAAGTAAACAAAAGAATACTAAAATGGCGGCCATTTTGGTATAAGGTGTATGAATACTGACACAGTAATATACATGTAACATGTTTAGAATTTTAAAATCCAATTCTTTGGATTTTCATTGAAGCTCATAAATATCCATGTACATGTAAGCTTACAACAGCAAATAGTGCATTGAAAACCACGCACACAAATTGATACAATTTATCTCAAATTCTTTCCCACTGTAATAAATCATTCACAACGCTCCCATTAAATAATAACCAATACTGAATTTCTGATGAGCCGATATTCATAAGCTTCCTGATTACAGCTAAACTAAAGATACGGGAAAACTCTAAAAAAGATATGATCTCAATATCCCTGTAGTCCTTTCAATACAGCAAAGACTTGAGAGCCATCAACGATTGCTGTTCATTCACGATTCCTGCAAAAACCTCTATCGAAGAAATGCGATTTCAAAAATTGATAACAAACCTGCAAAACCCGTCCAACCATCGGAGTTTATTTGACCTGCGGATTTGACAAGCGCGCGTGCAAGTCAATAAACCAGATTTTTCTTCAATAATAAATTAAGGTGAAGAAATTCTTCCATACCTTTTACCTAGTCGAATAGCATTTCCCATAAACGAAAAAACCTGGGAAACAGAAAACTCCACACCACTAATCCCTGCTGTGTTCGACAATCCTAATAGAAGCTTCGAAAAAGGAGCACAACTTGAGCAGCGGATTCCATCGAAATATATGCGCAGACGCATAGTGAGCAGTCAGTAAAAGGTGCGTTGTCAGCGGTAGTTGACCATAATCCAAGATGGAGGATCAACTTGTCAGAATCGGAGTTGGGTGAAATATGGCGAAGAAATTACGGATTAATGTGGTTTGTTCGTCCAGAGATAAACGATTTCTGGTAATCTAAACACACAACGTACAGGCTGTACATTTCTGCTTACTGATGATCTTTTCTTCGTGATTTTCTAACCTAGTTCTGTCACAAAACAGTTTTATTTTTTATCCTTTTCCCTACGTTAATCGACTTCATAGAGTTACTTGATTAGGAATAGTTATGTCCCCTTTTCTCTTTCATCGGTATGCATAAGGGTTAAACCTGCGCCATTTACTTGGCCTGAAATAGGCATTGTAGAAAACCGATGCAATTATTTATGATAATCAATGCCAGCCTGATATAAGCAGTATAAGAGTTGTTTTGCTAACGGCCAGTTCGATTACATTTTTTAAAAAAGTCTTCCAGACTCTCATTTTAGCAATACTACCCTAGAGAGTGAACAAACCGATTATTTCTGTGAACTTACCGTCAGCAAAACACCAATGCTCGTTGAGAAATGATTTCACTGATTGTTCAAGTTAACACAAACTTTATGCTTATTGATACAACTGCTTAATTTTTAGCTGTTTTGGGTTTCTTTTCTTATTAGAGCCCCTTACTTAATAATGCACCTCATATCTTTCATATACGTGTAGTCTGTCAGACAGTTAAGAATAGAACAAGTTGTATCCATAATGAAGATATTATGAGATTAAAAGAAAGTCGTGGCACACAGTGAAAAATGAGGGAGTATAATTTATAACACTGATTTTTTGCACAAAGTTGGGTCATTTAAGCTTTGATGAAATTTTTCAAAATGAAATGTTTATTTTGTGGTTCTTACAGGTCTTAGCTGAAAGAGAATGGGAACTTGCTACTTTGAGGAAACATACAGAAGACATATTTCACTCATTATATCCTGAACAGCCACAGCTGAGAATCTCAGGCTTACAAAATGAGTTTCACTTTGATCTACCACTGAGTTACAAAGTAGACGAGACACTGATTGACACAGGACTTGTATTTGTTATCGAGAAAGAAGTCAGCCTCCTTGAGTCATTAAGGTTGAACATCTTGAATAAATTAATATAAATATGTATTACATGTAGAGTAGTAGGTCCACAGTATAGGACTTCTATTTTATTAGCACCATTTGTGGTGGGATAAAGAATAGCAGGGTTGCATTGTTAGACTTGCTGTTCCCATCCCCCAGAAATTCAAGTTTTGGTTTATTCTATCTTTGAACACTTTTGGCCCTTGAACCTTCCTTCTCTCTTAAAATTTCCAATAACTCTCCTTAGGAGAGGTATGGATATTTTCTAGAACCACACAATGAAGACCATTCCACTGACTCATTGCATTATACTGGTTTTCTGTATTTTTAATTCCACAGGATGAAATTTCCATTGTTTTCAATTCAATTTTGAGAGTTTTCTGTAAAGGATACTCTTTTAAATTGTACTAGATAGGGCATGGTTGTTGCCTGCAATTTTTGTGATCATTGTCTTGATGTCTTTTCCATTTACAGCCAATCAGCTGAAACTAACTCAAAAAGATATGCAAGTCAATATAACAACCAAAGTAACAGGAAGTCAAGGGATGACTCTACTCAACCTTCATCAAGAAAGAGAAAGAAAATTGTGAAGAAAACCTCTGGATCGGTGAAGATTCCAACCAGTCCACCAGATGGAATTACAGAAATCTCCTCTAGTAACAGGGTGACATCAACAACTAGCCCAACAGTGGCTGAGCAAGGTAATTTCAAACCCTGGTGGAAATCTTTTAAGGATCTTAAAAGATCTTTGCAGAGATTTTTGACAAAAATTATTAACAGAATATTAAGGATAACTGAGGATATCACTAAGAACGTTCTTCAAGAATCTTCAGAATTTTTGCCAGCATCTTAAAAGTCTTAGTGTTCAGATACAGCAGTATACTGGAATTGAGTACACAATAACTCATTGAGGTAACTGGGTCTTTGCACAACTCCTATAATGAGGTGCTGAAATTATGGTTGTGCCGTGCCTTAGGCCCGATCCAAACGCCGCTGCACTCATGCTGCCGAACCAAACTTGATTAAGTTCGACTTTAGAGCGACTTTTTTTTTTACAACGTTGCTACATGTAAATATGAAACATGCTCCAACTCTGGCTAATTGCAGAAAATGTGTACATGGTTTGCAGTCCTCACTACATAATGCCGAGAGGAATTTCTGCCTTGGTATTTAATTGTGATAAACAAGTCTATCACTCTTGTAACTTTTAAATATTTTTGTTGTTGTTCTAAGTGTCCCCTGCATTGTGATAGACTGTCGGTCAATATGGTTCTTTTATCTTGCTCATCCCCACTCAAAATAGCAATTTTTCTTTCTGATTAGTAATAATAACTGTTTACAATACTTGGTTGGGGCACAGTTAGACTTTCAGAAAAGTCCTTTGTCTTGTTTGTTCATTCATTGCCCGCTGGACCCGCTAGTCATTTCAAGAAGACGGCTAATGGGTTTAATGTTCAAAACAATCAATTTAATATTGATTTTTGAAATGACTAGTGAGTCCAATATTCAAACAAACAATTCATTATTGCATTCTTGAAATGACTAGCGGGTTCAATAATCAAATAATCAATTCATTAATGTAATCTTGAGGGGTACGCTTCTCTTGGTTTGACTGTAAACACACTAACCATTACAGTATTGCTCACCCTACATTTAATTAATCCATGCACCATAGTGTTCTTTAATAGTGTTCTTTCATTTGAGTGTCGAAAATAATTAGACAATTACTTTGGTTTTGATTTTGGTTTTACTACGGTTTGAGATTGGCTGAGTAGTCTAATTGGTAAGTAATTGGTTTGCTTTTGGTTTTACGACACTCAATCGAAAACCGCTCTATATCAATATTCCCTCACTAAAGGAATACAGTGTAATTAATCTTTAATTGCCTCATTTCTCTGCTTTTAGAGGCAAGTTTGATGCCTCAGATTGTGGAGAAAATATCAGAAGATTCAGAAATTGATGTTGAGGTATGGTAAGAGTTGATTTAACACTTGAATTGAGTTCTTTCCTTCATCAGATGCAAATTGCAAAATTTTCCTATTTTGTTAGGCTGTGAATGGGCTCCCTAGTCAAGTGAGGTAAAAAAAAAATCGGTGAGTGGAGCGAGTTGACCGCAGACTCCGTTAGAAAATCTTGCAGAATGCACTCAGCTCACTGATTTCTTTTCACCCTATACCCGACTTAAGGGAGACTGTTCATGGCCTATTCCTACTCAGAGCAATATAGCCTTTGCTTATGATAATGAATACATACATAGCCAGGCTGTGAACAGGCTTCCGGTTGGGTTATAGCATGTAAAAAGCAAGCAAGCAGGGTGAGCAGAGAGTAGCCTCTTTCAGCTTGCTTTGCTAGCCAATTTTTTTGTCCTCATCAGGAGCCTGTTCATGGGCTAACACATGCATTACAAGCAAGTTTGCTTCAGTTGATGCCCACGTGTCTCTGATTACAGTTCTTTTGCCAATCTAGAGTGTGGATGACTCAGCACCTCAAACTTTACAGCAAGCATCAAGTAGCATTGTGATGAATAGCAAAGCTAATGGGAGGAAGACAAGCCAACAGCTTGTTCATAAGGCGAGAAAAATGAAAAACAAGACTAAAAGCTCAAGTAAACACACAACTAGAAGCAACCAGTGAATCAAAAAGCATTGACTTATGATTCTGAAACTTGGAACCAAATGATGGCTTCCACATTCAAATGCTGCGGATGTTTTAATTGTGGCACAGTATGTAGGTTATCTTCCTCCAAGTTTGAATGACCACCTGAGGTTAGGATTTACAGTGTGGTAATTAATCATGCTACATAGATAGTCAGCTGTATTTAAACTTCAGATCGACAAAATACACAACAATAATCTTTTACTCAGCGTGTTTCTTTTCAAGTAGCATTTTAAACCATCATGATGATGTTCAAAGGGAAGAACAATAGACAAAGCTGCTTGCATGTAACAGATAAATCAATCTGGTTTGTGTGAGTGGTCCCCCTGCTTAGAGCTTATCTACCCTTTAACATTACATATTCTTCAACCTGAACTGAGATAGTATCAAAGTTGAGCCTCTGTTACTGATGTTTTCCGTATGCGCATATGTCTTGTAAGAGGACACTTCATTTTTGTCTCAACTGTGAACAAAAACCAACCTCGTTGCCAAGGTCTCTCACAACCTTTAAATAAATATTTATTTAGTCTTACTGATACAAAAAATAACCAATGCATAAGCAGAGCAAAAAGAAAATCATTGAAGAATCATTTATACCCAAGGAACCAATTCAAAGGAAAAGAGGGTGATCATGTGTGTCATCATCATCATCATCATCATCATCATTATAATTCCTTATAGCCCCTAGTGGGGCATAGGGCCACTTTTTGCGATTTCCGTAACAAGATCAATTTTTATGGGGTGGGTTGTTCGCCCCACGCCCAATTCCCAACCTGGAAGGCCAGTGGTTTTCTGTAGAGGTTTTCCTGCCCTTAGCACACGTTTGTTCCCGGAGAACATTTGTGTATTTTTAACAAATATGCCTACTCACCCTTACAATGCACTCGACACCAGGTCAAGTGTTCTGGGTTCAAGCCCTGGCCAAGGACATTGTGTTCTTTAGCAAGCACCCAGGTGTATAAATGGGTACTGGCAAATTTAATACTGGGGGTAGCAAGCATCCCATCCAGGGGGAGTAGAAATACTCCTAGTCGCTTCATGCTACAGAAACCAGAGATAAGCACTGGTGATGAGCTGATGAGCCACTTGGCTCATATACAGACTTTTACTTTAGCCTCACAAAGGCCACTGGAAATTCTGGGTTCAAAATTTCCAGTGGGGTTAGGGTGGAGGTGGGTTTTAAACAAAAACAAGACCCTTTTGAGTATGTGTTTTTCTGGAAGAACAGATTCATGAAAATTATCACTGAAAATTTGACAGAATATTCTAAATCAATGTTCTATAAAATTATAAATTTTTATTAAGGTTATGGTTGTTTTTTGGTCAGTTCTCCAATAAATTTTAGTCAAGAGATACATTTACTCAATGTCATAATTTCAGTGTGTAAAGTAAATAATAAGTGGACCTTTTCTTAAATAGAAATAAAAAATATACGATAAATCAATGTCATAATTTCCACATTTTTACCAGCAATATGAGTCAGGAGTAGATCTCTGTGTAGAGCCAAATTTTTGCATCTTTGGTCTAAGGGTTGGACCACTATTTTTTGATGGGCAGGAAGGGCAATTTTCTAGGGCATGAAATTTTTTTTCTCACCTTGTGCATGTTTTCTTGGTGGGCAATAGCGTGTGGAAGAATTTTTTTCTTTAATTAAAACACAGGACCTGGTTAAGAAGAAAGCACTTGCTGGATCTTTCTTAAGTCCCCTCACACAATTTTTTTTTCAGCAGTGTTTGCTGTGTGCATGCAGGAATGTTTTTTTTTTGTTTGGAAATTGTCCAACCCCTCCCCCCAACCCCTCATAATATTGGTACGTCCCTTTGGCATAACTTTGAGCACGTCACGCAATTTTCGAAGATTGTGTGACGAACCTTTAAGCGGTAAAAATGGGGTGTATCAGCCCGCAGTAGACTTAAGAGTCAGAGAGGTTATTTTGCAAAAGAAAGCAATTTTGTAGACGTGATAAAGGTTGAAAAATTAATCTTCAAAGAAAATTACCGGAGATCGATGAAAGGAAACTGAGGCAAATTGATTCAACTAGCCCCATCCATACTCAATGGCCGTCTCCCCGTTCGTAATTTGCCGAGGCTGGTAACGAAACATGTCAATTATCGTCCCACTCAACTTACACCAGCTAACGACGATAAATTGACAAGGGCAGCAAGTCAACGAATACGTTTCCGGGAGTGGCTTTGAGGTTAGAAAATGCTCGAAGTAGGTTAGAAAATTAGCTTGAGAAGTCACGAGTGCACGCTAAGCGAGTGTCTGAGACTGGAGGGTGTGATCTTCGAACTCCGTGAGTTTCGCCCGTCGACAATTGCACCTGGTACGTAAAAACGCGATGTCCTGCCAAGACATCTCGACAGATCACGCACTTTTAGAATAAACAAACAGCAACGTGGATGCGAACTACCTGGAGTTTGACAAGAAGAGTGCTATGGAGATAATCACAGCGACTCGATGGATTGTTTTATTATTGTTCTGGGCATGTTGTGGTTTGGATATTTGGCGTGTTGTTGGTGGAGCCGATGACACTCAAAGCACACGCGACGATGTGCAGTTCTGTCCGTATTTCAAGAATCGTGGTCCGTCTAAGCAGGAAAATCTAAGAAATTGTAGCTGGTATAAAGAGAGTTCATGTTGTCACGACGAGGAAATCGAGTTTGCGTTCCGACAATTAACGCCACTTGCCGGAGCGAGCAGCGATTGTGCTCAATACATGAACTACCTGTATTGCTACATTTGTGCTCCGAATCAAAACTCATTCTTCAAGGACTTTACTTTGACTGTTTGTGAGGAATTCTGCGATCGAATCTACAGCGCGTGCAAGAACGCTGTTCTGAAGGGAAGACAAATCAAACATATGTACCAAAGTGGCAAGGAATTCTGCAAAGCGCGCCGCTTCGAAACTGAGAAAGAAGCTAACGGGAGATGCTTCACGTTCGATTCTCAGTCAGGAACGAAAAGCACGTCCCAACAAATAACCGTAAATAAGGTGTCGTTAACTGTGTTGGGAATGTTTACGATTTTCGCGAAGTACTATGTTTTGTTTTGATCACTGCGTCACGCTACATAACAATTGCCCGTGGTACAAGAACTAGAGAAGCAAGCTTTATGTCCCCAACTGTTTGTAGATTTTATGCAACGTGCATTTACTATGAAAGTACAATGTAATAATCCACGACGCAACATTTTTCCATCGATCAGTTTTGAAAAAGGTTAAAGTTTAATGGAAACACGGCTGGTTATGTTCAGTTCTGTGAACATCTCTTTTCTGAAAGAAACAATTTTGAGAGGTGCAGAAAATCGTCTAAGGTTTCATCAAGCAAGTAGCTTTTAAGCCATTTCATTTAGGAAAAGACAAATAAAAGGTTCGCTGTTATGCTAATATATCAACTTTATTCATATTCATTTCAAAATCATTCATTATTTCCGGAGACATGCATTATGATGTACATTATTGGCAATGAAATGTGCATTTCGCTGCGGAAAATGTGATGAAACCAGGCCAGCCCCGTGCGCTCAAAATCATGAAGTACAAATTATGAAAAACCGTGAATTTTAAAATTACAAAAAGACAGGAAATGAAGTACAAGAAAGTTTTATTGGCTAAATTATAAGATTTCATTCTCAGGATAAGTTAAGTACACAACGTGTTTTGATATTTGCAGCAAAGTCGGCTTTAAACTATGAACCCTTTTGTACCAAAAATTGAAAATATTTATCATTTTATTCAGTATTTCTAGCTAGTCAGATGTCATGCACGCATTGGCTAAGTGTCTCGAACTTCATATAATTATTACGAACAGATGTTTTTGCATGTAAACAAGGTTATTTTAATTACGACAGATGACATTGTCGTTTAAAAAACTGCTGTCATCATCTGTAACAATAATTATTTTATTCGTCAGCCATTTGATCCTTTGTCTAGCTTTTCCCTTTCCAAAGGTGATGAAACCTGAGTACAAAATACAGATGCTACCATAATCTGTATCACAGAATTTGTTTAACAAATGTTATTATGTTTGCAAAATATGGATGTGCAAATGGATGTGCAAATGGTCATTCCATGGTTTATTAGAACTTTAAGACTGAAAGAAACTAAATATTATCCAAGGCATCAGGGATGCTAATAATAAGTGTCACATTTCACAAGGAATGTATATAGCAATTCTATTAAAGCACCTAAAGACATCATGTTGGCTCTGATGAT